TTGGCTCCCTGCCAGGTACTCACACCGTTCTAGCGCCACACCAAGCTGTGGCAAAAACGACACATCTAAATCCTAAGCGCTTGTCAGTGGTAAACCCTTCTAAGCCCCCTCAACTTAACCTCGCTTCGAAGACCAGGAAATGCAGAGTGCAGCCCTGGCACGGCAAGCTCAAGAGCACTTGCGAGGAGCTATCTTCAAAGACAAGAGCATCTCTGACTTCATAGGTGTTGGGTGTTGCGGCGTCGGTCCGCAGCGCCAGCTTTCGAGTTGGTGGAAGTTTTTAAGCAGTGAAGGCTTTTGAAATCCACTCTTCCGCGAGTTCAGGGTCCTGGGCCCCAAATCCTACATGCCAAGCCTGAGATTCGAACTTCGAACCTAGTCTTTCGAGCCTGCCTAGAGCAAAAGACCTGACACACCCTGAGATACCACATGCGGAATTGTAAGTAAACCCTACAGGCCCCGAACCCAGTAAGCCGTAAGCCCTGAAAAGCCTATCCTTACTGTATAGGGTTCATGAAGCACTCTACTCGAATCACCCTTTGAGGACTCAGTCCCAGAAACCCGAAGCACGCTAATTATCCCAGTCTCAGGCATCACGGTGTATGTCACCTTCGGCCATGTTGCGGCTCACGGAGGAGCTTAAGGCCCCCCCTGGCTTGGAGCGCTTTTTTTCTTAGACTTCGTATTTCGGATGCTACTCTGCTTCATTGCTTACCGTCTGCAGTGCTATGGCTATTACCGCTAGATCAGGATAATTATGAGCACTGTTGCTTTTACATTTCCGGTTGACTGGGGACAAGAGGAAGGAAGATCTGTTGGGTCTTGCGATTCAGCGCCTCTTCACGTCGCAGGTAGCATTATGTCATTACGAACGTTTTTCACGTATGTATGTGCAGAGCACTTTTGTCATTCACGCACTGGTGCAGCAGCTACAAGTCTCAAAAGAGTTTCGGGCAGATTAGGGCTGTCGCAGAGTTTGTGGTCAAGTGCGGGAGCTAACAAGGGGGGCAGAGCATGCCATGAGCAGGGCTGATGCACTCTGTGTTGGCTGCTTGGCGGTTTTGTGAGTGCGACATTAGGTTCAACATAAATCTGCGAAGGAGAACGATATCTTCGCAGAAGCCACCGCCCAATGCCAAGTGATAGCAACTTATGTCTCACGGGTAGTTTCAGTGTGACTTTGAGGCAGTTCGCAAGTCGCAAGATTCCGGGGCTCGTGGTTCAGAGAGTCATGTGAATACCAGGGTCCGGGGAGTTATAGCTTGTTATGATGGGGCTTGTGTTAGCGACTAAGCGGGAGGTTATGCGATCTGTGAAGCGGAGACGTAGGATTTGAGGTAGGGAGAGGTAGGGAGTAGGGAGATGACAAAAACAGTCAACATCGGTTTCGGAATACAGGTGTTCGCAGCCTTAGCCGGTTTGTAGCCTGTTCGATCTCGTAGCCGACTTCTTTATGGAGGTTCTTCTGCAGCCTTCCATATCCGGCGCTTGTCAAGATGTGGCCCGAACGGGTGTCAGGTGGCATTGACAGTCCTGGTTCAAGAGTCTAGAGCAGGGCTTCGTGTTTTAGCTTAGGGTTTGAATCTCAAGATGTTTGCTTGCGGGCCTGAAGCTGGAAGTTCAGCAGGCTCCGCTTCCTGCTTGTGCGTCCTCTTGGTCTTCGCTGCGATTTTCGCGGAATTAAAGAAAAGCGCTGTGCGACGCAGGAGAGAAGTTCGTGCAGCCGACGGAAGGCCAGTACTCGCAAGCCCAAGTTCGGGGGATCTATCAGGTCCCAGACTTCTGAGCCCCAATGTCTTTCATCCGCATGTAAAACGAAGTGAGGAGTTCATCTTACAGCCACGAACGCCCCAACTTTGAGTACACGGCCTTCAATGAGTCTCTTGCAGAGGCGGGGAAACCTCTGCCTGGGGCAACAGCATATGCTGCAGTGCGTTGCCCTGGCTTGCGGATGTCTCGAGCTGCAGCCCTGTCCAAAAGCTGCAAACCATCAAAGCCGTAATCTCTAGCCCCGAAAATCCAAAAACCTACACTCCCAAAAGCCAGTTGAAGCTCGATATCCCAAAATCCTTCCATGGATCATCGACGTTTGTGTGCGTCGCTGCGGTCAGGGTTCAGAGGTGACTTTCCCAAAAAAACTGCAGAAAAAGTCAGAAGCGCCGTTGGGAGACTTGAGCCTTACACCTGAAGTGTGTAGGCTGTGATCGTCAGCAGCATTGGCTAGGGTTCAACCACCATGAGTTCAGGTGGTAGGTTCAGCTTACTGGCAGTTCTAACTCTTGGCAGGCAAGGCAACTCTACAGGATAGGTAATTCCGGCATGTGGCGCCTGAGTTCCAGCACTCAAGGTTTAACCCTAGCACCGTCATTCAGCCTGGACCGCAAGTCTTGACTTGGCATGCTGCTGTAGAGTTGCTTTGACTGCACAAGCCCGCGAGCACCAATCTAGGAGCCTCGATGATCATTCAGAGCCTTGAATTCAGAAACGCTTTTCCGAGCCTTGAAGGGAACTTGGACTTGTTGCTTACCTCCTAAACCCTTAACCCTAACCCGTAAGTAAGGTAAGTAAGGGCTACAGCCTTGAAGTCTTCAACCCGGCAGATGTGTAGGGATTTGCAGCTCAGACTTCGAACACCTGGGGGTCTTTCAGCGCTTCAAAGGGGCTGAAAGAGTATTCCATGCTGGGCCTGAACTTGCCTACTTTCCTCTCCTGCTGAGATTGGCTTCGTTTCTTGGCCCTTACAACTAGCTTGAAGAAATCTTCTGAGAACCAGCATGGCAATATTCTGCATGCAGCTGTCGCGAGATGCGTGGAGGAAAAGTCTTCAAAGCTTCACTTCTGATCCCCCCCAACATCCTGTCTTAGTTCTTCGATTCAACTTGGACGGCCGACACCTCATGTAGCCACAACTGGAGTGGATGTTACTTAACTTTGTTCAACAATCAAATGTTATCATTATCAGTTCAGGCCCCAAAAGAAATCCACCGACGGGTTCTGATGGGCTGAGCAGGCATTGGCTGTCCCGAGACTTCGTGCCGATGTGAGACGAGGGGTGCACCGTCACGGATGGCAGGGTTCGGGAGAGTCGGGTCTAGGACTCGATGCCTCTGGAGACGCTGGAGTCAGCAGGATTCCGGGCTTAGAGGGCTTAGAATCTGAGGATGGAGTTTGATCTTCGTGTCTTTGGTGCGGTTATTCTCAGCACAGTCTCCCTAACATCCCAGGCCCGACTAGAGCCGACAGCTTTGCGTGTTCAGGCTTTGGGGTTGGGGAAGAGGTTAATAGAAAGCAGGAAAAGTAGGCCCCCGGAAGAGCGTGCACAGATTATCTGGAATCTGCCTGAATCCGGGACAACGACACCACGTTGTTTTGAGAATCCAACCCAAGCCCTAAACCCTAAACCTTGCACAGCAACCCCTACAGCTTACTTGGTTCAGGATACGTTCACATGCTGTCTGGACTAAGTAGCCTCGATCTTCTCTGTTTGCAGCCAGGTCGGTGGGATTAGAGTTATGATTGGGTTTGGTTCTTTACACTCTGGGCTCTAGGTGTGTGTGTGTGTATGTTCTTGCATATCTAGTCATATTGTATATGATATACAATACTCAGATATGCAGTATATCTGATATATCTCTATAATGTAAACATGTAGCATATTATGTCTGTGCGTGACTATGACTATATATACAATGAGATTTTCGCATGAACAATATGATCTAGATACATACTTACATACTCAAGCATACACGTCAGGAAACTCAAACTATATATTTAGGGATTCTCGTTTCAGAGCCCCGGACTCTCGAAGCTGGCGAAGAGTGCTATCGCTTCTGCAGCTATCACAGAAAAAGTCCGGTTTCGAAGTCAGGAACTCAGTAATATGTGGGATACAGTCTATTGGAGATATTCAGCTCCTCATTAATGTTGACCGCGCAGCTCATCTACGGAGCACAGGCCGACCCAAAACTAGTCCTTACAAGTATCGATGGCAAGAAAAGGCGAAGTCACGGCAGTTGTCTTCAGTCGACGTCGTTTTGATCTTCGAGTTTCACGACGACAACCTCGGCTCCATCAGCTTTTCGTGGTTTCGTGTCCGGGTCGCATGACTCGACGGGGAGCGTGCGCGCCCTGACTTACAGGGATTCCCGGCATGTGAGCTCCGCGTTTTCTGTGTACGCCAAAGCCAATCCTACCATTCAGGGCAACGCAACACCTGAAGCCATTGCCGAAGTCGAAGTTCCTGGGTCCTGCTGGTCTGATGCGAAATGTTTCGATGGCTCGATCTTTGCGGAAATTCTTCGGAGTTTCTCCAAAATCAGGCCTACATTGCATACCTAGGTTTTGTGCCACATGGCTGAAAACCGGTACATAAAATCCTAGTTCGGAAAACGCCGCAAAGCACCACAGCATTCTGCTGAATGACCATGAGCTGAGAAAGACAAGACCTGTTTTGCCAAAGATCTGCCCGTAGCACTGAACTGTCGATTTCAAAGTCTGGACCCGGATATGTGACTACGCGTCTGAGGGTCAGAAGCCTCACGAACCTATGAAGAATCCACAACAATAAGTACCAACCCTTGCTTGCTGAACATGAGCTCTTCATTTCCAGGGGTAGATTGACATGTTGATCATGTTTCGGCTGGTTCCAGTAATGACACATGCAACGTTCCTATAGTAGCATACAGTAAGTACCAAAACCGCAAGTCAGTTCGCTCCAGCTAACTGGTGCAACCCAATACCTCGATCCTTTAATCCTCTAAGGCTATAAGGCTTTGGAAATAGCAGCTGAGCTTGAGAGAAGTCCTCCGCGATTTGGAGTTCAGAGTTGGGGTAACAAACTCAGCGAGGGCTCCTCTTAGGCGCTATCACTTTACAAGAAGTCTGTCCTTCCTACCCGCTGAGAGATCTTCAAACTTGAGGCCTCGCACTCCATAAACCCAAACAGCACGCCTCCTTGCCTCCAGCTGCCGTTTCAGACCAAGTGGGAATAGAGTTGCAGTATGGGCACCGAAGACGAGGCTCGGGGGTGTTCGCTTCTTTTAGGCCATCGCCTTCAAAGGCGCTGCTGACTTAGGGCCCTAGGGCCCCTTGCAACGTACCTGCTTCTAGTGCCGGCTATCAAAAGATAGGGTACAGGGTAAGGGGGAAGAGCTATCATGCTCAGAGAAAGTGCAAGAGTTTAGGATTTAGGGTTGAGGTTTGTAGGGGATGCGGGTTGTACTGGATTAAGGGCCGAACGGGCCAGTGAGACCCCCTAGCGTCGCATAGAAGTGGATCATGATGGTGGACTTGTCTCTTTCTGCGACTCTGAGACTGATGCACCGAAAGTCCCATGCGACCATCAAGAGGGCCTGGAGAGCTCCTGAAAAACTCAACTCAGAGCTCTCCAGGAGCTGCACCACAAGGCAACCAGTTCCACGGCACCGTCTCCTGGCAGCGTTACGATGGCTCGAAGCGGGTTATAGGGTGGAGAGTTTCGGCAAGCTTGGCCCCCTGGGAGGTTCACGTACGGTTTGGGGATCAGGGTTTGAAAGCACGTAACAGTAACATATTGTGCTTGGTCTTCTATAGTACATTCTTTGCACAAGGTAGTTATGGTGTTTGTCTAGAAGGTCCGTAAATTCTGAAAGCTTGTCGGATTTGGCGTTCCGGATCTAGTCAAAACCTGTCCTAATTCGTTTCTTGGGCTTTTTGCGTTGTGGGACTGCTGGCCCTTTCGGATGTGACGGGTTTATCTCCCTCAGCTGAGCTCCTTGGGTTGAAGATCTGGGGTTCAGGTCTTAGACTTAATTCGAGTCAAGAGCTTCATAGTCAGGATGCATGTTCCAGAGTACTTGACCCTGAGCCGTAACCTATAAACCCTGGTTTAGTTCGGATTGTTTCTGGAACTTCCATATTAGAGCAAGGCTGACCCGATTATAATTATTACCGTAACTTCTCTGGTTTAACTCAGTGCAAGCACGCATCCCAGATCGTCATGGGAAGTGTCGTTTCGGTAGCATTATCGATCTGGAGATAAGCAAGCTTACGGGCATAAACATATATACATCCACAAGCCTTGATGTCTAGACGACGGCACGCCGGTTGAGTAAACATCTTCTAGCAAAATGAATCCTGCATTCCGTTGCCAGGCAGCCCGATGCCCCTGAGACATGTCAGGACTGCGCTGAGTGCAGCTGAGGAAATCATCAATGTAATGTCCATAGCATATAACCAAGAACTAAACAGATCTGAGGGAGTTTTACATGAGACCATCGCTGTTCATACTCCGGGGAGGTGAGGGTAGTGTTCGCAGCCTGGGGTCGCATGGTTTGCATCGTGCGCAAAAGCACCGGTCACAGACTCACAGCCACTCGGCTTGGTCTTCGGTCGATGACTGGGGGTCAACTTGTAGTGGCTATTGCTTCTGACTCTGGGGTCCTGCAATGAGAAGCAATTTGTTAGTTTGTCCCTCCTATGCTGCCACACCCGGGTAGTACCAGTCATGTACCAAGGCATCCTCACATTCCTTTGAACCTCGCAGCCTGTAAGCATCACCAGACCACCCGAACTGAAAGTCGGCTTTCTTGGTGCGTCTCACGTTTGCTTGGGCCTCCTTCGGCTGCATTTGCTTTTGCAGTCTGTTCCTCCCTCCTTGCATAATCCCTTGCCCCTTTTTATTAAACACCCCACTACTACTAAAAACACTTTGGGCCCAATCTCCAATTCTGCAGAAATCATCCCTGCCCTTGAAAGCCAACTCTGAATTAGGGGGGGGGGGGTAAGGGTTAATAGTTGAGCGCATATGCCTGTGCGGTTGGTATGTTTTAAAGTTTAAGGTTTCGAGTTTATTAATTAATTACTATTGTACCCAAATCTGACAATAGAGAGAACAAACATACCCCAAACAATAGGAGGGTGGGGGGGGGCCTCCTCCCCGTTTAATTTTTGTTTAGAGCGTAGAAAGCTGGATGCCGAAACCCGCAACACGATGCAAAGCTTAGGTTGCAGCCCCAGCCCTCGAACTTATGCATTGTTATGGCGCTTACTGCTGTTGTTTGTTTGCCTGTCCGCGTGGTCTTTCGTTCGATTGTGCGTTTGCTTCGCTTGCTTGCTTGCTTGCTTGCTTGCTTGCTTGCTTGCTTGCATGCCTGCGTGCTTGCGTGCCTGCTTACCTGCTTGCCTGCTTGCATGCTTGCATGTTTGTGTGCTTGCTTGCTTGCCTGCCTGCGTGCGTGAGTGCTTGATTGCTTGCTTGCTTGCTTGGTCGATGGGTCGGTCGGTCGGTCCGTCGGGCGGGTGTCGACGTTGTCGTGCTCCTCCTGCTGCTGCTGCTGCT